ACTCAAGACCAGGGGTCCCCAACCTTTTTGAGCCTGTGGGTGCCTTTGGAAGTCTGACAACATGGTGGGTGCAGCGGCAGCCACAAAACAAAACGGCTGCTTCAGCTTTCCGTCAATCACACAGCGAAGTTCTTTGTGCTGTGGTGGCAGCAGCACAAAAATCAGCACAGCCAAAAAATCTCTAGTGGCCCATCAGAAGCCTTGCTGGCCAAAAGCCCCCCCCCCCGGCTTTGCCCACCCTAATCCTTAGCAGGGCTCCCCCTTTCTTGGCCCTTCTGGCCCCTCCAGACATCTCTGTTAACGTCCATTTCCGAGGCTCTCCTTTGCTGTCACTTCCTGGCTTGATTCCCAGAGTGGTGTAGTGGTTAAAAGCAGCGGACTCTGATCTGGAGAACCAGGTTTGATTCCCCACTCCTCCTCCACTTGAAGCTTGACGGGTGCCCTTGGGCCAGTCACAGGTCTCTCAGGACTCTCTCAGCCCCACCTACCCCACAAGGTGTCTGTTGTAGGGAGAGGAAGTGAATGTGATTGTAAGGGGTTTGAGACTCCGAGTGAAGGGTGGGGTATAAATCCTCCTTCTCCTCCCCCCCCTCTTCTTCTTCTCAATGAGTTTTCACCAGGAATACATTTACAGAAGCATTCAAATTTGGAAGAAAATATTTGGCAGCAAACTCGTTTCAACTGGAAAGCAATTTCCCACAGTTGCACCACTGGAACTGAAAACAGCTTCATCACATAGACCGACCAGGCATGAAAAAACTTCATACAAGTAAGAAAATCAAATATTTGACTTCTGATATTTGATTCCCGCTAGGCCATAATGTTAATTCCGCAAAACTGAAACTTAGCCCGACTTAGATCTATGTTATTACAGGGGCTGCGGTGGCTCAAGTGGTTAAGACGCTGAACTGCAGACCTGAAGGTCGGTAGTTCGGCAGTTCGAGACCCGAGTGCCGCATGACGAAGTGAGCTCCCGTCTCTGGTCCCAGCTCCTGCCAGCCTAGCAGTTCGAAAGCAAGAAACTGCAAGTAGATAAATAGGTACCGTTTTGGTGGGAAGGTAACAGCGTTCCATGCACCTCGGTGTTTAGTCATGCTGGCCATATGACCACAGAAATGTCTTCGGACAGAGCTGGCTCTTCGGCTTGGAAACGGAGATGAGCACCGCAACCCTAGAGTCAGATTCAACTGGCTTTTGAGCAAGGCAAACCTTTACCTAGATCTATGTTGACTCTATTCATGATTTTCACTACCTTTTAAAAATGTGCATTCATTTCCATCTATACTTAATAAAACAGTGTGTCTGTATATAAAAAGAACCTGCTTGGATAAGCGAGTCTTTTTCAACCCTTGCCTCTTCATTAGCTTTTTCTGTGAATAAGATCTCCTCCGGCCCTTATCACTTCCCATCCCTCTCTTGTTAATTTGACTTCACAATCTCTCACCCAAACCTCGGATCTTTCTCCCCCAGCTAATTTTCACTTTCCTAACAAGGAAAGCAGGTTAAAAAAAATCCTTTCAGTATTTTAATTGCACAACCTCAATCCTTCCTTCTAAAAAAATGAACACAAGGTATTCCACAGATTCCAGAGTAAGCCCCAAAAGACGGGAAAGCCTTATTATCCCATCTACTTTTCTGGCAATAAAGAAAAATTCTTCACTGTAGGCAAAAATAATTCTCTTATCCTAATCGTATTACAAGCAGCAGGAAAGATTTTACATCACTGCCTTTGAAAACTACCCCTTTGAGCTCAGTTACAATTCAAGTGCCCACAAGAATAATCAATTTTTTTTTCTCTTGCAGCATGACAGAATCACGCTGACATCTTGTGTTAGAAGAGCAGCTTCCTGTTTACCTGTCCAAGAACCTCATAAGCTGAGCTGTGGAATAATTACCTTAAAGAGAGACTGCTGAGCAGGGAGTTGATTTTGAGCCCCAACTAAATCTGGCCAGATACTGTTTTCTTTTTTTTTGGCAGTATCGGGAGGGGGTGGGAGCTGGACTTGGGCATCCCTCCACCCAACCCTAATTTTACCCCAATTTCAGGATGTTATAAGCTGTCATGGGCTCTGACCCATTTGCAGGGTTGTTGGGTTTGGATAAGAGGAGGAGGAGGAGGAGGAGGAGGAGGAGGATCATCAGCTGGTCTCAGAAAAATTTAAAATATATACACCTTTTGAATATTTGAAAATATATTGTCTTTTAATTTTTATTAAAAAATAATAAAAGATGTGTTTACAAAATCACGGAAATAATTACATAATTAAAGGGTTTTAAAATGACAAATAAGGCTCCAGCAGACTGCGAGGCCCTAAGCTGTAGCTTATTTAGCTGATGCGTAAATCCAGCACTGCCCGCCCTTCACTACCCGAAGGAGTCTCAGAGCAGCTTAAAATCTCCTTTCCTTTCCTTTCCCTTCCCCTCCCCACAACAGACACCCTGTGAGGTAGGTGGGGCTGAGAGAGCTCTTTCGAGAACTGCTCCTGGGAGAACAGCTCTGAAAGAACTTGTAACTGACCCAAGGTCACACCAGCAGCTGCATGTGGAGGAGTGGGGAATCAAACCCGGTTATCCCAGATTAAAGTCCGCGCTCTTAACCACTACACCAATCAGCCTTAATTGAGATGGAAACACTTTCCTCTCTGCTCTTAGTTAAACTAGTCAGGACGCTTTTAGCTTCAAAATGGTTAAAGACCACTTCTTGAAAGTGCAAAGCATCCTGGACTTAGGGGCTTGATGGAAGGAGGTGTGGTGCATTTAATGACGTAAATCTCACATCATAATTCTCCACCACACCCAACCCCTCAGTATACTAGAAGCTGTGAGGCATTTGATCAGGCCAGTTGCTGCAGGACAATGGGACTGCTCAGAGCTCATAAGCCTGGGGGGAGGTATTTTTTAAATTGCTAAACTTTTTTTTTTCTTCCTTTCTTAGGGAGTTCCCAATTTTCTCCTTGGCTCCATCATCAACAAAAGGGAACTGCATGCCCGAAGGCAAAATTTAGCTACTTTATTTGTTACCTCCTGGGAGGAATCTGCAAGAAGGAAGGAGACGTAAAGTTGTTCAGATCTTCCTGGTAGAGTTGATCGGATGGGGGCTGTGTGTCAGCTAGGCCTCCTGCCTGGCTGTCATGTAGAGGGGGGGGGGATAATGTGGAATGATGGGTTTAGTTTCTGCTGTGCCTACACTGGTTTTATTATCTGTCTTCTGTGCTATATGTCCTTGAGTGCGTTGGTGGTGGAGCGTTGGGAGGGCGAGGTTTGGGGGGGGGAGCAACCTCGGCAGGGTATAATGCCATAAAGTCCACCCTCTAAAGCAGCCATTTTCTCCAGGGGAACTGATCTCTCTCATCTAGAGATGGTTGTGATTCCAGGTGATCTCCAGCCCCCACCTGGAGGTTGGTAACCCTAGTTCCACTGGAGGAAATGGCTGCTTTAGGGGGTGGAGATTACAGCATTATACCCCTCTGAGGTCCCCCTTCCCCAAGCTCCCCATCAAATTTCCAAACCTTTCCTTCCTCTTGGTTACTGCCATATCCTCCCAGAGAACAGCCTCCTCCATTCGAAGATCCTACTTTACAAAAGGAGCCTCCCTTTATCCCTGCAGCAATCAAGGTCTTCCAAGGAAAGGTTGTCTCCCAGCTGTTATATGCTTCTCACCTCTGTATTTATAAAGAAAGGAGCTTGCTGGAAACGGTACAATCCAAGGTCCTATGATCGATCCTTGGAGTCCTGCGATGTATCCCAAACGCCCTTCTTAGACTAGAGACTGGGCTGATCCCCTTGGAGTCTCACATGTGGCGACTCACGTCTAACTTTTGGCTAATCCGGAGGGCCTAGCACCCCTGAGCTTTGCCAATAGCCACCGTTCAACCTGGCAAAGGGCAATTGAGGGGAAACTCCAGGAGGCATGGCCTCTTCTCCCCAACTCCTACTGCGTCTTGGGTACAAAAAAGCAAAAGCAGCTCTGGGATCACACCCTACAATCTGATAGGGCACAGATACAGAAATATCCAATTATTCTGCAGCATACCAGATGCTTCCAACCAGCAGATTATCTTAGACCCCTTGAGATCTTCAAATATCGGAGAACCTTTCCTTTGCACACTGAAACGTCCTACCCCCAGCCCTCCCGGAGGGCAGATATCATCATGTCCCACTCCCTCGACGGCTCTGCCCAGGCCACGCAGGGAAAGTAGAGTTTATCAACCAATTCTGCTGCACTGCCCATTCTACAACGACATTCGATCTTCAGGGCCTTCCCAACCTCGATCTGGCAACCCCAAGAGGAACTGATCTCTGTGGCTGGGAGAACCATTCTAGGAGAATGCCAAACCCCACCTGGAGGTTGGCAACCCCAGAAGGGGAAAGGGAAGCAGGAAAAGGGAAGAGACTAAGTGGGCTTTCAGGAAAGGGAAAGAAGAAATAGTAGGAGAGGTGGAAGTGAGATGCCTCTCAGAAGTCCTCACGGGTTCCCACCTGTGAGAGTATAAACCTGAAGGAGTTTAATTTATCCAGTGAGTCTGCGGCAGGGCCACTAATTCCACAGTAGATGTCTATGACATTGGACAGAGGCCGCAGCGGAGCATGCGCGGAAGTGCGGTTGGTCCTGGCCGGAAATGAATCGCTACAGCCGGAAGAAAGGGAACTCCAAAAGACCAGCACCAGGAAAGGACGCCGCCGACTACTGCCCGCAAGAATAGGACAACAATCAAAGATCCGCCGGGAAAAAAAGGGTGCCTGGTAGGGTTGTCACCACCCCTATATATCTGTGGCCCTCGGTTAGACTCGGTAAAATGTGATTAGCATGCTCTGTAAGCCGCCCAGAGACCCTTAGGGGTTAGGGCGGGATAACAAATCGAAGTGATAAATAAATAAATAAATGAACCAAGTCAAATTCTCTGTCCATGCTTTCTTCGCTCCCCAAATGTTGAAAACCTTTCTAGAATTCGTACAGAGAAAACAGCTCAGAAGGTGGATCAGTACGACTTGGTACTCACTTGTCTATCTCAATGCCGAGAGGATTAGCCGGACGGAGAGACAAAGGGGGCATCCCTTTGTTCCTGTCAGGGCGCATGTCATAATAGTTCATCTCTTCGACCCAGACAGCAGACTGATCCAAGATACCTAGAGAAAACAGAACACATATCCTTATAATAATAAGCCCTGTCCGGCCTCATGAGCTCGTGCTCAGCTGAATTAAGCTGGAGAAGCTTGATAAGCACCAAAATATATGCCTAGACAATAGTTTGGAAGCAGCAGGACAAAACTAACTATGAAAAAAGACCCCTGCATTGCTTCCATTGTTGTCTACTAATGTTACTATGGCTATCAAAGCATTTTATCTGGGCTGAAGCACACAGCCCTTAAATCTCTTTCCTGGACCTGTGGCACAACTATAAAAACCTTCACTGGTGAAACGGTACAATCAGTCCTCCGTGTTCTATCGTGTATTTAAAGGTAAAGGTTCCTTTGCTTGAAAGCCAGTCGAGTCCGACTCTAGGGTTGCGGTGCTCACCTCAGTTTCCAAGCCGAAGAGCCAGCGCTGTCCGAAGACGTTTTCTGTGGTCATGTGGCCGGCATGACTAAACACCAAGGCACACGGAACGCTGTTACCTTCCCACCAAAGTGGTACCTATTTATCTACTTGCAATTTCTTGCTTTCGAACTGCTAGGTTGGAAGGAGCTGGAACTAGAGACGGGAGCTCACGCCGTCATGCAGCACACTCGGGTCTCGAACTGCTGACCCTTCCACAGCCTGCAGTTCAGTGTCTTAACTACTTGAGCCATCGCAGCTCAAAAGTGGAGTAAGAAGAACAAGAGTAGGACTTTATAACCTGCTTTTCTCCACCTCAAGGAGTCTCTTTTTAAAAAATAATAATTTTTATTTTGAACTTTATGAGGGAATACAGAACTAAAAAAGGGTGTAAGTGGAAAGAATAAAACGTAAAATTACCGAAACATAGTATAAAGGGTGTTTTTTGCAAATATAAAGTACAATTCTTGAGTCAAATTCCTGAATTTTTAGGAAAATTATATAATATTATGAATTTTTAGGAAAATTATATAACATTATAACTTTAAAAACCACTAGAACAACCTACTCGACATTCTAGCATTTCCTCGTAATATATTAACATTTTTAACCTATCTTATTGATCTCATCAGTTATATGATAAACCATGAATAACCTCATAAAAATGTATGTATAATCTACCTCAAGGAGTCTCAAAGTAGCTTACAATCACATTCCCTTCCTCTCCCTGCAACGGGCACCTTGTGAAGTAGGTGGGACTGAAAGAGTTCTGAGAGAACTGTGACTGGCCCTAGGTCACCCAGCAGGCTTTATGTGGAGGAGGAGTGGGGAATCAAACCTGGTTCTCCCAGAGTAGAGTCCACCTCTCTTAACCGCCACAACACATTTTACAAAGGTGCTTTATAATCTGCCGTGTGAACATGAACATTAAATGATTATTTGGGCCTCAAATGGGGCTCACTTCTAAATATCAGCCAGCAGGATTCATGTTAGTATGAGAGCAGGTTAATTTAAAACATAGATCTACAGCCTAGCAGAACTGAAACATCTCAATTTAAGAAGATTCTTAGACAAGGAACCAACAGTGGAACACGTGCTTTGCGTGTAGATGATCCGCACGGGACCAACTGTGGAAAGGCCTCTTGACTGAAGCAGTCTCTGGAGGACAAAGTATAGAAATGAAAGGACAGCTTCTTACATAAGAGGTAAAAGGTAAAGGTTTCCCTTGCTCCGACTCTAGGGGGCGGTGCTCATCTCTGTTTCCAAGCTGAAGAGCCAGCGCTGCCTGAAGACTTCTCCGTGGTCATGTGGCCGGCATGACTAAATGCCAAGGCGCACAGAACGTTGTTATCTTCTCACCAAAGCGATACCTATTTATCTACTTGCAATTTCTTGCTTTCGAACAGCTAGGTTGGCAGGAGCTGGGGCCCGAGACGGGAGCTCACTCCGTCACGTGGCACTAGAGTCTCGAACTGCCAAACTACAGACCTTCCAGTCTGTAGCTCAGCATCTTAACCTCTGAGCCACCATGAGAGGTACATACCAATTTTTTCTGGTTTCAGAAGTTTGAAGGAGACAGTCGAAGTCCCTCTGCCTCCAGACCTGGTTGTGACAATGATGTCTCCTTTCTCGTTTTTAGCTTGACCGACTCGACACACGATTTTGCTGGCGGACATCCATTCAGCAGTGAGAATACAACTATGACCGCAGATTGTCAAGCCTGGGTATTGAGAGAGTCAAACAAGACAGAAGTTAACAGGAATGCATGCACAGTGGTATTATCGCAAATACCTGAAACTTCCTTGGACCCTAAATATGGCCTGCTCCATTTATGGATTCAGACAAAAGACAATTTGCAGAGCCCTTCCCAGGTAATACTCCAAACAGACATTGGTATTCAGTACTGAAGGACTCAGCCTAAAAGGATCAGAGGACACCTGGATGGTCTACTCCAGTGGTGGCGAACCTATGGCACGGGTGCCAGAGGTGGCACTCAGAGCCCTCTCTGTGGGCACGCGTGCCATCGCCTCAGCCAGGCCCAGACCATCATTAAAGTGTTGAATTCTTTGCCAAATACTTTTAAGTAAATGAAAGCATTTGGGATTGCTTTCCTTACTTTGTTTGGATCATCTTAAGTTAATGTATGGGTTGTTTTTTTCTAAAGTAAAACCTCAGTATTCAGGTTAAACTGCCGTGTTGGCACTTTGCGATAAATAAGTGGGTTTTGGGCCGCAGTTTGGGCACTCGGTCTCTAAAAGGTTCGCCATCACTCCCCACCGGCCCAGTTCTGATTGAGTTGGATGCCACCATCAGGGCTGTCCCCGATACACACTGGAATGGTGACTGCGTCCCTACTGGGACAAGGAAACTATAGAGGAGAATTTTTGTGTGGTTTTAATGACATCTACCCTGAGTGTGGTTTTAAGAAGGTACAAGAGATGGTTCCGGCCCACTTCCAATAACTGCAACAGCTTATTGTTCAGACCCTTGCATGCGCTACTCGTCGCCCACTTAACTACAGACAAGTCTCTCCACACCCGCTGAGCAAGTTATTGGGTGCTGGAAGAACTAGAAGCCAGAAATCGAGAAGGGGGATCCAAATTCAAAACCTTAAGAAATACTGAGTGATTGGCAAAGTAAAGGAACTGAAAATCGTGACTCAGAACGAGCTATTCGTCACAAGCAACACTGAAAGAACCTTAGTTTTAGTAGTAGTAAAATTTATTGTGTAGCCAATGGCCACTACAATTTAAAATTTAAACAATATACAAATTAAGACAACGTACAGCACTGGAACTTGAATTAAATTTAAAATATAATAAGCTCTAAAATCTGCACATTCAGTATTTAAATGAATTAAAATCTTCAATATAGATACCCATCTCCAGAAACACATACACATTGCCGGTTTACATTGCCGATTTAAAGTTCAATTTCATTTCATTTTCCTATGTTCTAAAAACCTTAGTTACAGACCTGCACTTCCAGTATGCCATGTAACACAGAAGAAGGAGAAAAAGAAGAGATTAGATTTATACCCCGCCCTTCACTACCTGAAGGAGTCTCAGAGCGGCTTACAATCTCCTTTCTCTTCCCCTCCCCACAAAAGACACCCTGTGAGGTAGGTGGGGCTGAGAGAGCTCTGAGAGAAACTGCTCATGAGAGAGCAGCTCTGAAAGAACTTGCAACTGACCCAAGGTCACACCAGCAGCTGCATGTGGAGGAGTGAGGGAATCAAACCCAGCTCTCCCAGATTTAGAGTCCACACACCTAACCACCACACCAAACTGGCAACATTTCCTGGCAAAAGGAAGAAGCAATACAGCCCAGCCCACGTCACCATGTGATACCATACATAAGGCCATGATGGTCAAAGTTAATAGATCCCCCGCCAATCAGCCTCATCCTGAATAAGAAAGGAGGGTGCTGTGCGACCCTGAAAGGAAGGGCAGCAGCTGTGGCTTAACTTAAATATGGAGACTTGAGTGGAATAACTAGAACAGCCCCACACTTAACAGAGACAGAGTGGGTCTGGCATGTTTAAAGAACCTAACACAGAAATCCTTTAACCTTTACCCTCCCAGTAGCATCCAGGGGTTTAAACCACCCAGAAACAGTAGACGTTTCTGAACCTCCTGAACCTTATTTTGATTTTTGCATTTTACATCAGTACATCGACTTACATTTTATTCTTGTGAGTCTTATCTATTTACATTCTCCAGCCATATATAAAACATTTTCCATCTTTTCTCAAATGCTTCTTTACTTTTACCTTGTAACATTTATACTTAATCTATCCATTTCCGCTACTGATAATATTTTATCTGTTATCTCTTTTATTGAAGGTATATTCTCTTCTTCCCACCTTTTTGCTAATAGTATTCTCGCAGCCGTAAAGCAGTACACCATCACATATTTATCAGCATTACTAAATCCATCTGGAATCATATTTAGTAAAGCAATCTCTGTCTTAAATGGTATTTGTGTTCCTATAATCTCATTAACCATTCTATAAATTTTCTTCCAGTACCTTTGCACTTTATCACACCTCCACCACATATGCATATAAGTACCCACATTACTTTTACATTTCCAGCAGTTTATGTTGGCAGGGCAATCTAAACTTGTGCGCCCTGTTCCTAACAGATGCAGCACATGCTAGGACCTTTGCAGCCAAAATGCAAAATGAGAAGTCGCCCTTAGACACAGCTTTTTCAGCAACCCAGATTCTGTGGCAGGATTTGGTTCTATGGCGAGAGCTTCACGCTATGGAGACTTCGAGCTTCTTTTCACAGAGTTTGCTGACAAAAGTCCACACTCAGGGGACCTAACAAATCACATCCCAGGCTAAATTCAAAACCGGCACAGTACTCTCAGCTTTCCTAAATCTGGCCCCTTTCCTCACACTTTCTACAAGGCTGAATTTTCACTGTGCTACTTCAAGGTTGTAAGGCGGCGTTTTAACAGTTAATTTTATCTGTCATTGACATATGGTACTGGCCTTGGCAATTCGATGGTCATCTCTTCAGCCTCATGAGGAAAGAAAATCATCTTACATGCCCCCGGGGAATGCTGATTGCCGCTTTGGGGTCAGGAAGCAATTTTTCTCCAGGCCAGTTTGGCCAGGGATCCTGGAGGGTTTTTTTGTCATCTTCTGGGCGTGGAACAGTGGTCATTGCGGATGTGGAGGGGGAGGCATTTGTGTATTTCCTGCATTGTGCAGGGGGTTGGACTAGATGACCCTGGAGGTCCCTTCCAGCTCTATGATTCTACGATCTATTGTGTGTTTTCATTTTAGCACATAGTTACCAACAGGGCTTTCTTTGTAGAAAAAGCACAGCGGGAACTCATTAGCATAACAGGCCACACCCAACAGCAGAAATACATTAGCATATTAGGCCACACCCCTGACAGAGCAGTTCATTAGCATATTAGGCCACACCCCACATTACCAGAAGTGTGGTCATCCAGCCACACTCACCTTTTGCTTCTTATTCTGTTTACCTTGTTTGTTGTCAAAACCCAGGGCTTTTTTTTGTAGCAGGAGCTCCTTTGTATGTCAGGCCACACACCCCTAATGTAGCCAGTCCTAATGAGTTCCTGCTGTTGGGTGTGGCCTATTATGCTAATGAGTTCCTGCTGGGCGTGGCCAACTCGGGAGCCAGCCGGAACTCCGTTCCTGTGCGTTCCTGCCCAAAAATAGCCCTGGTTACCAAAACTGTCTAGCAACTTTCCCCCCCTCCTGACTGAGACTCTGAATACGCAAACTTAAACAGCATTCTTGACTTACCTATAAGATCTGCTGTGCCTGTTCCCAAATTCTCTCCGCGAATTGTGACCTTGGTCCATGCAATACCTTCATTGGGAGAAATACCCGTCACGAGGGGGGGCTTGCGTGTATGAGACATAATAGCTTTCTTCTTGCATTCGAGATCAGATCTTCTGTAACCCGAATCTGTAGAAAATGTAATACTTCAATTATTGACATAGCATCAACTATACTGAAAACACTCATTTGTAAACGTCAGCTTTTGAAAGGATGATTATTTAGCTAAATGTATTTAATTCTCAATCACTAAGATTTCTCAAGCAACACAAATGTGACGTTAATTTTTCCAAAAAATTAAGTTAAGACTAGATTAGAAGCACAGTGGCCCTAGTAGGACACTTTTGGAAACGTGAAATATACGCCATGTTTATCAAATTTAACCCTACTTTAAGAACATGCAACATACCATGAATAACAATACCATGTTTTCCAGTGTAAAAAGGTAAAGGTTCCCTTGCTCGAAAGCCAGTCGAATCCGACTCTAGGGTTGTGGTGCTCATCTCTGTTTCAAAGCCGAAGAGCCAGCGCTGTCCGAAGACATTTCCGTGGTCATGTGGCCGGCATGAGTAAGCACCAAGGTGCACGGAACGCTGTTACCTTCCCACCGAAGTGGTACCTATTTATCTACTTGCAATTTCTTGCTTTCGAACTGCTAGGTTGGCAGGAGCTGGAACTAGAGACAGGAGCTCACCCCGTCTTGCGGCACCTGGGTCTTGAACTGCTGAACTACCGACCTTCCACAGCCTGCAGTTCAGCATCTTAACCACTTGAGCCACCGCAGCTCCTTTTCCAGTGTAGTCTAGCGGTTAGAGTGTTGACTAGGATCTGGTTCAAATCCCCACTTTGTGCCATCGAAGCTTGCGGGGTGACTTTGGGCTGGTCACACAGGGCACTTTCACACACGCTAAATAATGCAGTTTCAGTCCACTTCGGCGACCGTTTGCAAGTTGATTTTTCCATTTCACACGTTAAAATCCCATCGCAAGGTGCACTGACGGTGGATTGAAAGTGCGTTATTTAGTGTGAGTGAAAGTGCCAACAATCTCAGCCTAACCTACCTGAGAGCATTTTTGTGGGGATAAAATGGATTAAACTGCTTCTCCAGAGACCTGCTCATATGTACCATGCTTTAAAATGAAGTTGACAGCCAACCTGAAAGGGGGGGGGGAGATAGATTCGATCAACATTTCACCTGCTGATCAATACATCTGTCATTTGAAACTGGGCTCTGCTTGCTGGGAAAAATGTTCATGCACACAGAGTAAAAATCCAATGCATCTTTTGCATAATGCATCTTCTTGTCATGGACAAGGACTATTTTACAAAGGAATGGCCCATTTACAGCAAAGCTAGTCTCACCTGCCACTCTAAGGAAGAAGGCAACCAGGCACGATATATTCACTCTGGAAGGTAGCCAGCCAATAAAGTCACCGATGAAGCTGCAAAAAAAAAAATGAATAAGGATTTTAAAACAAAATCTCAAAGCAGGGTGGATAAAAATAAATGATTTAAAAAATTTAAAAACCTATTTTTAAAAAATTTAAATTGCATTTTTTTAATTTAAATTGAATTTTTAATAAAATGCTTTTTGGGGGGGAAATCTATCTAAATTGGGTTTGGACAACAAACAAGGGAAACAGAATAACAAGCAAAAGGTGGGTGTGGCTGGATAACTACACTTCTGGTAATGTGGGGGTGCGGCCTAATGTGCTAATGAGCTGTGCTGGCAGGGGTATGGCCTAATATGCTAATGAGTTTCTGTTGTTGGGTGTGGCCTATTATGCTAATGAGTTCCTGCTGGACTTTTTCTACAAAAAAAGCCCTGGATGAATTCCATTAATTCATTCACAATGCCTTGCTCTTCTAGAGGTTTCTGCAAGATTATTGGGCAATTTTTCTGTCTAGATTGGCCTTGACCCCCTCCTCACTTGGAAGGACGAGCTTGGTACCTATAAGCAGGTGACACAAGCAACCTTCCCTCTCTTAGCATTCCACAGGGTCAATCATTCAAGACTCATCCCTGGTCTGCAAATAAGAGATCCACATTGATCCTCAGTCGCACGGCATGTGTGTCATCGAATATTGGCAGAGGCATGTCTGAAAAACTGATCCTAGAGGTGCAAAGGTCTGGTTTTTGGCAGTTCTGTTCCCTCTTTTAATCCATTAGTGTCAAAGTTTGATTTTCTCAGAAAAGGACACTAAATCTAACCGACTCCCTACCTTGCCTGACGTTCCCCTACCTGGCCATCCTAAGTAAAAATCTAGTAGAAACCATTTTAATCCCATAATCCTTTCTGTGATAGTTGCCTTGTCCAAGCCATTAGAGGTCACCAAACATTCATTCACAATGCCTTGCTCTTCTAGAGGTCACATGAATGTTACATTGCACTTGTAATTCCTGGGAACGTTATGAAGCTTCTTAGTTAAGACAACATTGTTTCATTCACACCATCACAGCATTGTTCTAGGAGCAATCACGTCATGCTCCAAGGGGTATAACCAGACCTACATTGTTCAGTAATGTGTGTATCTGGATGTCCACTAACCTACACCCCCACCGAAAAGGTTGGGCACCCTGCTAAGAGTGAGACGCTGGTTTGTTTCGCTTGTCTTCCTACTCGGATCTTTGTTCCTTGGATAAGTAAATATAGTCCTATAGAATAAGTTCCCTTCTTTGTCTCCGTAAACTACCACCTTTATTTTCTGAACTTGTATGCGTGTTCATATAGTGGGTTTTTTCCAATTAATACGTTTTGATTTTATTCATTTTAGTTCATTTTGCGAGTCCTACTGAGGGAAAAATCCCCGTAAATATAGGTGGAGATCCTGCTTGATTACCTCCTCTTGCATTGCTTGGGTTTCCTAGCTAATTCCCCAACAAACTCAAGAAACCCTCATAACCACTTTGGGTAACAAGTGAGTCAATCCACCTCATGTTGGGTCTTCCTCTTTTCCTGCTGGCTTCAACTTTTCCTAGCTTTTTTGCCTTTCCCAGGGACTTTTGTCTTCTCTAAGGTGCTACTGTACACAAATCTGTTCTACTGCAAACAACTAACTACCCTCTGAAATGACAAAAAAGTATCTGCACGCGAAAGCTTATACTGTGAATAAAACTTTGTTGGTCTTAAAGCTGCCACTGGACGCCAACTTTGTTCGACAAAAATCAGGTTATTTGTTAGGAAACAAACTCTGGAACCTGACGGAACCATAGCTCAAACAAACAGCATACTGGCACACCAGTACCCAGGAACAAAAATCCATCAAGCAAATGAAAACGTATTTATATCCAGCACCGTCCCAGAAATTGCACAAGAAGTGACCTAGGCCCTATTCCAAGCTTGTTTACAATGAGCTGAAATTGAACTGAAGCTGGATGGATGCAGAAATCGGATGCCTAACTAATATTACCAATGACAAATCTTAGGTACAACAGTCGGCTGGAAGAATGCACCCGACTAACCAATTTTACTTGGCTTCAGGGATTGAATAAGAATAGGCACACAAATTTATTCAGTAACACTAGACATCCTAAAGCACCAGGGAATGTAAAATAATCCCAAGATCAAAATAAAAGACCTAAAGTAGGAAAATTTTAAGAAAACCAATATTAATGCGAAGAGAAAATAAAGCAGTAAATTTTCCAGTGATTTATTTTTCTCTCGCATTTCCCCCCAAGTTTCACTTTATTTGATAATACCAAGGCATTCCGGTGATGCAACGGAATTAAGACTGTACGAGACAGTAATATTATAAAATATTGGAGCACGCTTTATTGGATTTCAGAAACTGGAATGCGGTACCTCTTTGTATTACGGAATGAATACATGTAATAAAAACGTTGAGCCTCCCAAAATCTAATATTTCTACTGAAGTATCTCTTTGCTTATTGCAGAACACTTAAAAATCCTCGCTGGAATGGTGAGTATGAAGCAAAGACCCAAAGCGTTAGACATCTTGATTTGGACTGGTGCCCATTATCTGAGAACTAGATGGGCACTTTGCAAAGACAGAAAGCTGGGGCAACAAATGCTTGTGTAACTTTTGCTGGGAATGCTGCTTTCATGTACTTAGATATTGATATTACTATTATTATTATTTTGATTTATGAATCACCCAACCATGCAAGCGGACCCTGGGAGATTCACAGCCTTAAAGCAGATAAAATACAATCAACATAATGCAATTATCACCATACACTAATAAAATGACCAGTTCAGACGGCGATCAACCCCTTTTTTTGCCGGTTGCAGTGCTCTCCATGCTGCATGGCACAGAAGGGGACAGGGGAACCATAGGAAGAAAAAGGAGGATGCCAGTCTTCACTGTCGCTGCCCTCAACTAAAAGACTGCTAGAGCTGAAATAAGAAGCAAAACTTGTTTTGATCATAATAACTGTTATAGGCTTGCCAAGTCCCCCCGGGGAGCCGGGAAACCCCCGCCCCAGAGGCCCGTTCCCTGCCGCCGCCGGATCGGGCCCCGGGGGGAACTCCACCCCGACGTGCACATCACCAGGAAGTGACGCGACCACGCCGGGCACGCTGGGGGCGGGGCCACGGTCATCCGAGGGAAAACTCCAGGATCGACTCGGGAGTCCCCCGCTTCAGGACGAGTTACGACTTGGCAACCCTATAATAACGGAAGAATTTAGTTTACTGTTAGTGTCACTTTTAGGCATGATCACGCCATGCCCTCTACTGTTATAAACCTCTGTGCCCCCGTTGACCTACTTAGTGTTTTCTGCTAACTTCCTCATTCTGCCCATCTGGCCTCAACCAGACACTGGACCTTTTCTTGTTGGCACCATCCATCTGGAACAGCCAGCTGGAAGCTGTAAAGCCAGCTTCAGCTTGGTTGCATTGCGGGGGGGGGGGATGTGAGTATTCTGTTAATACTGAAGGCAAGTCATTTTCATGTGCTGTTTGGCAATAATTTTGAATGTGAAAATCCTGTTTTTGCCAGCGGAGGGTAGGGATTTTGCTTTGTGGACTGGTTAGGTCGCCAACCTGACCAAGATCAGTTCCCCCAGGGAAAATGGCTGCTTTGCAGGGTGGACTCTATGCCATTAAATCCTGCCCAGGCCCCTCCCCTCCCCAAACCCCGCGCTCCCTAGGCTCCAACCCCCAAAATCTCCAGGCATTTCCCAGCCCAGAGCTGGAAACCCGATGGATTGGACTTACTGCATTTCCATAACTTGGATTCATTTGCTCTGATTTCCCAATACATCATTTGCCCCACTAGCCCACCACAGCACCTCTGTTCCTGCTCCCATACAGCTGAGCACCTTTAAAGTAAAGGTAAAACAAGGTTCCCTTGCTCGAAAGCCAGTCGAATCCGACACTAGGGTTGCGGTGCTCATCTCCGTTTCAAAGCCGAAGAGCCAGCGCTGTCCAAAGACGTTTCCGTGGTCATGTGGCCGGCATGACTAAACACCAAGGTGCACTGAATGCTGTTACCTTCCCACCAAAGTGGTACCTATTTATCTACTTGCAATTTCTTGCTTTCGAACTGCTAGGTTGGCAGGAGCTGGAACTAGAGATGGGAGCTCATTCCATCATGCGGTACCTGGGTCTCGAACTGCTGAACTACTGACCTTCCACAGCCTGCAGTTCAGCGTCTTAACCACTTGAGCCACTGCAGCACCTTTAGAGGAGAACAAAAGGCATGGCCAATTTCGTCGATTATGAATTCATCCTTTCCTTGACTGCGGTCTACCGAAGAAGAGGGAGTTTTCTGAGGGGGCCAGGGGGCCTCACGTGATCCTGAGGACAGGTCATCAGCCATGAAGGGCAAGGGTCAAACTTCAGTGTGGTGGACGGCACATTTTTGAAGCAGCTGGTCACCCACTGAAAGTCTCCTCCATACCATTTACCTCCTTCTACTCACTTCAATGGACTAGGTCAACTCCGTAAAAGGGGTGATTTGGCCACAGTGATCTGTGATTTGATTGCAGCAGGTGCAAGGAGTTTTACACAGGGCTATCTTTGAAAACTGTCCATAATATGTTCAAAGCATAAGCCAATGGCCCATCCAGTCCAACACTCTGTCACAGAGTGGCCAAAAATACCAGATGCCATCAGGAGGTCCACCAGTGGGGCCAGGACATTAGAAGCCCTCCCAGTGTTGCCCCCCCCCCCAAGCACCAAGAATGCAGAGCATCACTTGCCCCAGACTGAGAGTTCCTATCTATACCTTGTGGCTAATAGCCACTGATGGACCTCTGCTCCATATATTTATCCAATTCCCTCTTGAAGCTGTCCATGCTTGTAGCCGCCACCACCTCCTGTGGCAGTGAATCCCATGTGTTAATCACTCTTTGGATGAAGAAGTACTTCCTTTTATCTGTTCTAACCCAACTGCTCAGCAATTTCATTGAGTGCCCACGAGTTCTTGTACTGTAAGAAAGGGAGAAAAGTACTTCTTTCTCTATCTGCTCTATCCC